TCTTAATTATAACATATTATGTAAATATGTAGCGTCACTCGTTGAGTTGAGGGCAAACATGTTTTAAAGACAGTCAGCCATTTTGTATAGAGTAAACACATGTAGGTTAGGTATAAAAATGTGAATAAAACGCAAAACCAAAAAAAGTTAAATGGTTAAAATATAATAAGAATATTTCATATTTCGTCAATACATGGAAGTGGCTGGCATTCAGTTATTTGATTCACTAATCAGGGCCAAATGTACTACCATTACAATGTTCTGGCCAGCTGTTGGTACAATCCCTCTTTACAGGATGAGATTCAATATCAGGAAAGGGTGTTGAGAGTCCCCCTTCCCCCACATTTTTCGGTGGCACCGCTACTTTAACCACACACCATAATATCACTGAGAACGGGGATATCTTTATTTGTTTATGAAAACTGTATCCAGACTGTGACATTAGCCAGAGAGGTCCGTGTCGACGTTGAGTAAATATCGGTCGGGTTTCCGTCGATATCGTTTCGCAAATAATGTAGTACTACTCACCACGACAAACAATAAAACAAACAAATTCATCTTTCACTAGAATGGCTAACACCCACTATCTTTCCGCTACATTAATCGCATTTGCTTCGATAAATCTCCTCTGGTTAACTTTAGATCATCGGAACCATCGGGTGACCCAGTCGGAAGACCCACAGGACGGCGGCATCACTCTCAAAATAGTCCCCCGAAATGCATGAAACAGCGTTTCAGGGGATATAGATTCCAACAATTTTAAGGGGAGCATGGCCCGGACCCCCCAATAAGGTCCAGCCTCGGCACAAGTTTCGTGAGCAGAATTCCCTAGCAAAATTTCGAGTCGCCGCCTCTGGGAAGCCTTGTGACGTAGCTCTGCCCCTAAGAATATTGTGTTGAATATGTTCTTGTCACAAATGCCTTCTGTTGCTGAAATCTAGAAGTCTACTTCACTGTCGCAGAGGTTCTTACCTGTGATTTATTGCTGTTATAAAGTACCAAATAGATGTGCTGCGTCGTGAACTGGATAATATTTCTAGATATTTAGGATAAGTCAAATCCAATTGACCTTGAGAGTGAAATGTCGTTCTAAAATGATGCGTTATCTGGCGACTATCCGTTTTACGTACGATTTCAATATTATATTTTCCGGGCATTGTTTAACAGTGACAATATAACAAGACAGGGACATGCGCAATTATTATTCATACAATAAATCTAAAAATAAAATAATGAATGATTATTAATCAACAATTTTTAGCGCGCTGTTTTAATAATCCAAATTATACGGTATGCCTTACTGAAACTAAACTAATTATATTATTAGCTTGTTTTTTTTCTGTTGTTTGTTGGGCCGTTGCTGCCCTCCAAGTCGTGAATTGTTGCCTAGAGTGTGCTCATAACCATTGTCACTAAGAATTTGCTTTTTCGTCACTGTTGTGGCTCTCAGCCCACGTAGTATAACTGTCATTCATTGTTGGGGAAAATATGAAAATGTTCTGAACTATCAGGAACGGGAGTATGTTTTCGTTGATACAGTTTGTGAATTTCAGTGAAGGTTGACTAAATGACGTCATTTAATATTGATTTGCATACAATGCATCTACAATTAGTCACAATGTGTGTCTTTTGAACTATTGTTTTTTGTTGTTGAAGAACTGACAGAACCTAAAATATTGAATGGATTCCGATTGTAATGAATACTCGTGTTTAGGATACATGAATCAATCTGAAGTACAAACTTGTGGTACATTTTAATTATCTCCAG